AATAAAAATAAACAAAGGGAGTAGCTTTTTTCTAAGGATAATACCATTAGATATATAAATTGTTTCTAAATTTTTAATTTAAAAAAATTCTTAAAATAATAATTATTTAGAAATAGAAAAAGTAATTAAGTGTCTATATATTTTGTTATTGAATGTTTTGGAAAATATGAATCATAGTTAGATGTTTAATTCAACCTCTGAAAAGAGACTTTTTGCAATACCGAAGCTGAAAATCGATCAATTGTAATTTAAAAAAAAAAAAAAAGACTTTTTACTTTTCTAATTTAAATCCAAGTTTTTATAGCTGTTAGTACATAATAATTGATGATCCAGGGGTGCCTACTAACCAACAACACTTTTACAATTTCTCTCATACATAATTTGCTTTTGTTGCTTGGAAAAGTATATTTACTTAGAAAATGATTGATATACACTTATTTTAATATGTTTTTTAACATTTATTTTAATTTAATTATTAAAATATAATATAAATATAATCGATTCAATTAATTTTTAAATTTTATATGCATTATTATATTAAATTTGTTTGTTTTTAATTTCAAACTAAAAAATTAATATTTTTTTAATTAACATATCATGTAATGTATTGAATTATAATATATATCAATCAGTATCTTTTTTTTTTACAATTTATTTATTTATTTATTTATTTATTATATATAAACAGTGAGAGGTCAAGCCCCATTGCGAGCTCATTTTCATTGCTGCTGGAAGTGTGGGAGAAATGGGATGTGAAGGGAATGGTTCTTTTTAGTCTCACCTTACAAATCATCCTCTCTGTCTTGGGTAGGCGTAGAAAATACAAAATTAACCATTTCTTGAAAACCATTCTATGGTTTGCCTACTTAGGTGCCGATTGGATTGTCATTGCTACTTTGGGCAAACTTTCTGGCTGCTATGCAGAATCTACTGCCACCAACGTCTTTAGAGCTTACTGGGCTCCTTTACTCTTGGTACATCTTGGTGGCCCTGACACCATCACAGCTTATGCTTTTGAAGACAACAAGCTTTGGATTAGGCACCTCGTCATCCTTGTTGTTAAAGTCGTTCTTGTCATTTATGTCGTTTATTTGTCGTGGACCTTTTCTTGGCTCTCGTTTTTTACTCTCCCTCTCATCTTAGCTGGAATTATTAAGTATGTAGAGAAAATATTGTGTCTCAAGCTGAATAACTCACAAAAAACAAAACCAATCATTTCTAATATGTTTAGTTTTCAAGATCATTTTGACCCCAGTGAGAATCAAACCCTTGATCGCCTTCATAAAGAAAACCCAAACGTTTTGTCAGGTTATTTATTATTTACAATTATGAGACCTGATGTCAATGATTACCTCTCCTCCCAAAATCTTTCCGATGTTGGAACAAGGGTCAAAGCTTATTTCAGGGAAACTACAAGTATAGACAGTAGTAGAGCTTTCCACTTTGGAAGCAAATATATTTATACAAGCACTGACAAAAAGGTTTTTGAAATATTGTCTATTCAACTAGGATTCATGTTTGATGTTGTTTACACCAAGGCTAGTTTGATTTACACCAAGTTAGGATGCTTCTTGCGCCTTACTAGTTTCACTAGCTGTTTCCCAGTTCTACTGCTCTTCTTTATCAGCATCGTTAATGAGCCAAAATTCCATGGCTCAAGAATTGATATTGCCATAACTGGCATCTTATTGAGTGGAGCTATTGCACAAGAACTTTATGCAGCATGGGTAATGCTTTCTTCTGATT